TTCATTAATTTGCTGATTAGTAACCCTGAACTCTTGCATCCCCTTCTTTTTTTGCATTCCCTTTTTAATATACTATGCTGTTTCCCCTGGGACATAAACTCCAGGACCCGTCCCTGGCCTGCTCATGTTTGTTTTCTTTGCCCCTTGTGCCTGCCTCTGCTATAACATTTGTAGTATGTGTTAAGTAATCCTTAAGGTAACATTTTTATTATGTCATAAAAAGTGCATGGCAAATATATTATAACTCATGGACTTTGTTTAAAAATGAACGGATAATTTATTGAGTGTGTTACATGAGCCTCACTCCCCTCCCCATTTCAGCTGAGACCTGCTGCTCATTTAGCCGAGCCTCCTATTGAGTGCTCCCTCCCTGTGACCTGCTGGGAAGGCAGGCCCTTGGTTGGCTAGAAGTGACATCATAGTTTATGTACTCAGTAAAAATTTAATTAAGTCATTACAGGAATTGCCGCCATCATTTAACCCTCTGATTTCTTCTGTTTAGTTTATTATTAAACATTCAGTAATACCAGTCACTGAATCCTGACGGCTTATAAAATATCTGCATGAATTTTAATGGCTTAAATAAATGGGAAAATATGAGTAACTGATATAAAAGGAACCTTTTCCTTGTGGTGCTATATGTATGGGTTTTTATAAAAAGCAAAGCTTTATGGAAAGGATGAGTTTAATAAGAGAACAGCCCAAGTCTATCTGGAAGGAGTTTCTCTTCTGCTTGGTACAGCTGTGTAGTCATGGGCAGAGTGCTCCATATAGAATGATCTGGCAGTGGAGAGGCAAGGAACCTGCACACCAGAAACCAAAAACTTAAATGAGGGAATAAAATCCAACAGGGGTTCACCAGAGGGAATATCCCGCTCCCCTTGGCTGCTGGACTAGCTAGAAGGGCTGGCCCTGCTGAGTGAATCTGGAGGTTGAGGAAGCTGCTGTCACTTGCCCCCACCTGTTGCCTGCAGATCATGTGTCTGTACTGATTGCACTTCCACCCTCTTCCAGGAAGGGCCCTTTTCATAATCTAATCCAGCCTGGGTGATGATATCTGAAAACCATTTCTAGCTGTGGCAGCTTGCCGTTGTCTCAGCTAGAGGTGAAGGGAGAGGCAGCTTACAGGTCACTGGAGTTAAAATATGGCACCAGGAGGTCGAGGAGCCTTGCTAATAAGGAACTGTACTCTTGCGCCCCGTTTTTCCTGGGCCGTAGCCAACCAGAATGCAGGTTTATCCCAACAGGAGAAAATGTGTTTGTATGTATGTGGGCCTTGCTGGAAAGCAAGAACTGAGGTTTGTAGATGAATGTATTGGTGATAAAAATCTCTGGAAATATCCTGCAGATGGTGAAGTAGGAAAAGCACTAACCCAGAAATCAGGTTCTAATCCTGGCTCTGACACTAACTTGATGTGTGACCTTGAATAAGTCTCTTTTTGGGTTTCAGTTGGCCCTTTGCTCAAGGGTATTGAGCTAGGTAATCTCTGAGGGCCCTTCCAGCTCCAAAGCTTAATGGTGTGATACGTGGCATAAACTAGCTCTGCTAGGCAGGTTCAGTGGATGGTTTCCTCTGAGAGATGCTTCTGCCTCAGTGTTGGACAAAACTCATGTGGGAGTAGGGAAAGCCTCAAAGTGGTTATCAGGAGGTCTGAGGTGCAGTCTTATCCTCACATGACAACAGGAATGAACTCTAGCTCTGGCCTGTTTCTTTTTTTCTTTTTTTGAGACGGAGTTTCGCTCTTGTTACCCAGGCTGGAGTGCAATGGCGCGATCTCGGCTCACCACAACCTCCGCCTCCTGGGATCAGGCAATTCTCCTGCCTCAGCCTCCTGAGTAGCTGGGATTACAGGCATGCACCACCATGGCCAGCTAAGTTTTTGTATTTTTAGTAGAGACGGGGTTTCACCATGTTGACCACGATGGTCTCCATCTCTTGACCTCGTGATCCACCCACCTCGGCCTCCCAAAGTGCTGGGATTACAGGCGTGAGCCACCGCGCCCAGCCTGGCTTGTTTCTTTACTCTTCTCTTTATCCCAGCCCTTTCTGGAAGATGAGACAGTAGAAGTTTGGCAGTATATGTTTCTAAAATTCCAGAAATGCAGAACGTATTCAGTAGGGGGAAAGAAAGGAGAAGAACTCCACCCCCTACCCCCAAAAATCAGTTGGATAGAACATGCTATGCGTGACGTAGTACTCAGGCCCTTGTAAAAATTCAATTGCCAGCAAGCCTGTCTTAGCCCCTGCTCTGGACCAGATAATGGGGTGGGGGGGCAAGATTAATCAGACATGGTTCCTGTGACCCTTGAGTAACTCCCAGACTAGTGGGAGAGAGGTGCATAAGCAGCTCTAAACCATGTTTTGTATCCAGGGCGAAAAGTCTGCCCAGAGAGCTGTGAGAACACCAAGTGTAGATGGCTAATGTGGCCCTGGTTGAAGGTGTGTGGGATAGGTGATGGTTTCCACTCCTAGTTGCATCCAGTCTCCCATTTTCTAGCCTTGAGCTTCACAATTCTTTCATGTTTGAAAATTATCCATGACTATAATGCATTGGAACTGGTTTTGGTTTTATGTAAACAAACCAGAAGTTATTACTTATAATTCCTTATATTTGTAGAGCATTCTGCAGTTTACCAAGGCTTTCAGCATACATATATTATTAAATTAATGAATGAATGAATGCATGCTAACTCACATGCTCTTCCAAACAGCCCTGTGTGTAGGGCATTTAAAAGAAAAGGGGCCGGGTGTAGTGGCTCACACCTGTAATCCCAGCACTTTGGAAGGTTGAGGCAGGCAGGTCACCTGAGGTCAGGAGTTCAAAACCAGCCTGGCCAATATGGTGAAACCCCATCTCTACTAAAAATACAAAAAAAATTAGGTGGGTGTGGTGGCAGGTGCCTGTAATCCCAGCTACTCAGGAGGCTTAGGCAGGAGAATCGCTTGAACCCGGGAAGCGGAGGTTGCAGTGAGCCGAGATCGCGCCACTGCACTCCAGCCTGGGCAACAGAGCAAGAGTTTGTCTCAAAAAAAAAAGAAAGAAAGAAAGAAAAGGAAATGGACTCAGGTTGACTTGGACTTGCTTAAGATAACATCCTGTGTACATAGCAAAACTATCACTTGAACCCAGGTTTTCTGAGTCTAAATCCAGATTACCCTTTCTGCTTTACTTCTGAGACTAGTTATGAGCCACAGGATAAAACTGCTCAGTCTTTGATCACAATCCAAAGTAAAATTATCCTCACATGAAGCAGGGCTCTGGCAGACTGTAACAAGTGTAGACTCTGGATTCAGACTGACCTGGATGCTGATCTCAGCTTGATCAGTCAATTTGCTATGTGTGTGACACAGGGCATCACTTCGCCCGTCTGAGTCTCTCAGTCGCCTGTAGTCTGAGTGACTATAACACATCTACCTCTCTGAGTTCTGGTGGCGATTAGAAGAGAAAACGTCCATAAAATACTGGACCCGTGACGGGTGCTTGGTAAATGAGGAGATGAACGTGGGCAAGGTCACCGTCAGAGTTGTTAAGCACAAATCTTATTCTCTATATAAAGTTCCAAATGCCTTTTGGCTGTTTCTAAAACCTTCCGTTTAAATAGCAAGTCCTTACTCTGTGCTATGCATTGCTCTGGCTTTCTGCTGGGATCCTAAAAAGGAATTAAAACATGGGCCCTGCCTTCCAGCATGTTACTCTCTGGAGGTCAGAGTTGTACCCTGTTGAAGGCATCCTGCAAACTGCACTCTGGCCCCTGAAGACCCTCCAGGCCATTCCCTGAGAGGAGAGAGGAGTTCTACCAGGCTCTCAACAAACTCACTGGAATTGTATTTCTAAAACAATCTGAGTTTTTGTTTGTTTGTTTGTTTGAAACAGGGTCACATTCTGTCACCCAGGCTGGAGTACAGTGGCACTATCTTGGCTCATTGCAGCCTCAGCCTCCCAGGCTCAAGTGCTCCAACTCAGCCTCCCAAGTAGCTGGGACTACAGGCATGCACCACTATGCCAGGCTTATTTTTGTATTTTTTTTGTAGGGATTTCCATGTCGCCCAGTTTGGTCTCAAACTCCTGGGCTCAAGCAATCTGCTTGCCTTGGTCTCCCAAAGTGCTGGGATTACAGGCATGAACCATCACCCAGCCATAATGATCTCTTAACTTTAACGTTCTTCTTGCTTCAGAGTTGCCCCTGCTTTGTTCTGCGCTCCTTTCCATGGCCTCAGAGTTCCCCCCTTTTTCCTCAACATGTCTCTCACAGTCCTGCCTCTCTCCCTCCTCTTCCCACCTCTGACCACTTCCTTCTCTTTGTTTTTTTCACCACGAAAAACTCTTGAGTGGCCCTTAAGATGTCTCCTAACCTGATCTCAACATACCTTTCCTGCGATCCTGCCCATTCACCCTCCTTGACACCCTCCCTGCACCAGTCCTTTTATTTCCAGCCTCTGCACCTTTGCACACCTTGTTCCCTTTGTCTAAAATGCCCTCTCTTCCTCCTCCCCCTCACTCTCCCTTGTCAAACTCCTCCTCCTCCAAGGTTCACTTAAATGTTACCTCCTAAAGAGCCCTTAACCAGCTCCCTCAAGCAGAGGCCATTTGCATTAAAACCCATTTATCACTCAGCACGTTTGGAATAGTATTTGAGGCAACATGTTGCAGTGTAATTATTTTTTATATCCTATTTTCCTACATTGGTGTGTGCTCCTCTAATCAGGAAACTGTTTCTTATGCTTGGTTCATAGGATCTAGCACAAAATCAGACATGTGGTTGGGGCTCAGTTCATTAAATGGACTCATGTAATTTGAGATCAAAACCTAAAAGAAATTGGCAAACTGGGGAGAATCCTGACAGGTCAGGGAATTGAAAATGGAATGGACTGACAGTTTGACTAGTTGGTGGCCCTCTCTGTGCTACTACGAGTCTGTAACAGTAAGAGTCACAGATCTTACTTTTTGGATTTTTTTTTCTTTCTTTCATACTTTTGTTTTTGCCATTTGTTTCTGTAGGTTAATCCCTATATCCTGAAGAAGAACATGATCCTCATGACAGATAATTTCTATGCTGCAATCTTGGGATATGATGAGGTAAGATTGTTTGCCAAGGCTTAGGCAGGATGGTGCCCTCCCCCAGCAAAGGCTTTTGATGAGAGCCTCTGGGGGAAGCTGCAGGCACCATTGTCTGCACTGGCTGCCACCATGGTGTGGTATTTATTTCTTCATATTCATTGACTGGGCAGCTAGAATGAATGTGCCCAGCATGTTTGGGAAAGAAAGCAGTATATAATATGGTCAGACCATTCAACTAGTTAGCATTTGTTGAGTGGCTCCTGGGTGCTGGATGGAGGGACAGAGGCATATGTGCTCCCTGAGAGAGGAGGACATTCATGTAAACAGCATGGTCTGCCAGACAAAGTACACACTTTTTTTTCTTGCTTTAATTATAAAAGCAGGCCAGGCACAGTGGCTCACACCATAATCCTAGCACTTTTGGAGGCGAAGAGATCTAGACAACCCTGGCCAACATGGTGAAAACCTGTCTCTACTAAAAATACAAAAATTAGCTGGGCATGAAGGTAGGCACCTGTAATCCCAACTACTCCAGAGACCGAGGCAGGTGAATCGCTTGAACCTGGGAGACGGAGGTTGCAGTGAGCTGAGATCGTGCCACTGCACTCCAGTCTGGGCAACAGAGTGAGACTCCATCTATAAAAATAAAAAATAAAAGTTTGTAAAACTGTACCTAAGTGGTTGAAGTAGAAATTAGAAGGCCTATTTTCTATCCTGCCCCAGATGAAAACTTCATTCATAGTTTATTGGATGTCTTTCCAAATCTTATCTGTGCATAGACAAACACCTTTGTTTTTCCCTTCTTTATGCAACCGGAGTTACATTATACACATTATTCTGCAACTTGCTTGTTTCACTGAACTGTGTATTGGGTGCCCTTCCACATCAGGACATTTGGATCTAGCTCATCTTTTTTTTTTAATTGTAAACTATGCATATAATAAAATATACCATTTTAACCACTTTTTTGTTTTTTGAGACAAAAGTTTCACTCTCGTTGCCCAGACTGGAGTTCAATGGCGTGATCTCGGCTCACTGCAACCTCTGCCTCCGAGGTTCAAGTGATTCTCCTGCCTCAGCCTCCTGAGTAGCTGGGATTACAAGCCTGGATAATCTTGTATTTTTAGTAGAAACAGGGTTTCTCCATGTTGGTCAGTCTGGTCTCGAACTTGAACTGCCTGCCTCGGCCTCCCAAAGTTCTGGGATTACAGGCATGAGCCACTGCGTCCGGCCCATTTTAACTATTTGTAAGTGCACAGTTTAGTGACATAAAGTACATTCCCATTGCTTTGCAGCCATCACCGCCATTAATCTCCAGAGCTTTTCCATCTTCCAAACTGAAACTCTGTCCCTGTTGAACAATAATTATTCCCTCCTTGCCCCATATCCCCTAGCAACCACCATTCATTTGACTTTTTGCCTCTGTGAATTTGACTACTGTAGATAAGCAGAATAATACAATTTTTGACCTTTTGTGACTGGCTTATTTCATTTAACATAATGCCCTCCTGGTTCATCCGTGTTGTAGTATCTATCTTATCTTTTTTCCCCCAACATTTATTGTGGAGATTTCAAGCATGTAGAAAGAATGGTGTAATGAACACCTGATATTTTAAACTAACCATATGCTTTTATACTGATGTTGTGGTTACCGCCAGATTTAATGCAAGCATCACCCATCCTGGGAAGCAGTTCCTGAACTTCCTGAGGCTCAGCCCATTCCATCCTCCCTGCACTTTCACAGTGCTTACTACACTCGCCTTATCCGTCACTTTGGCTGGGTGGGGATGTCTTTTGGGTAGTAGCAGCGCCTACTTTGTTTGCATTTTCGTGGCCTGGCATGTGGTGGTCAAAGAGTGAGAAATGCACAAAAGAACAAAAGTAAGAAACTAGAGTTCAGACTGGAGCTGATGTTACCAGCCTGAAGATAATAATTACAGCCAGGAGATAAGCTTACCAAAAAAAATCAGGTTAAATGATTTGGTTAGGGTCATAGGACCAGTTAAAATAGGGTCTCCTGATGCCTGGTCTACCAGATATCCTGAATTATAAGGGAGCATTTAGATTGCATACTATACACGTCATTAATTTAACACGAGCTCTGGGGGGAAATGGGATGGGAATTGAGAATTATTGCTCAAGTGTACATATCAGTTATAAAATTGGACGAGCTGAAATGGTAGAAGCCTTACAATATAGAAAAAGATGAGGCTTAGGAGTGAAGAACTACACCTCTCTGTTCACCTTTGTTTATGTCGTTATTGCAGGTGGCTCTGTTGGCTCAGTCAGTCCTTTCATCAATATTAATAATAATGTACTGAATTGTGTTTGTTCCCAGTCCCCCATCCAGTCCATTCTGGCAGAGCCATTTTACCCAACTGTGCCTGACCACAAGAGTCACCTGGGGTGTTTTTAAAATCGAAATCTTGATCACCTCTCTGAAGATTCCAGTTCAGTAGGAGTGCTGCCTGGTGGTTCAACAAGTCACCCCAAGGTGACTCTTGAGAGTAGGAAGGTTTGTTCTCAGGTAGTGTTATAAGTTAAAAAAAAAAAAGGAGTAGGAAAGTTTGGGAAATCTACTAATTACCTGGGGTACTTTTTAGAAATATCAGTGTCTGGGCCCGATCCCCGAAAAGATTCTGATTTAATTGGTGGAGGTAGGCATCTGTGGTTGTAAGAGTTCCCAGGTGATTTTAATGTGCAATTCTAGAAGTTTTTTCCTATATTTTAATGTGCATGTAAGTCACCCAGAGGACTTAGGTACAATTCAGATTCTGACTCAGCAAGTCTGGGGTGGGGCCTGAGATTCTGCATTGCTAACAGCTGCAGGTGATGGGGGTGCAGCCGTTTTTGCAGACCACACGTGGATTCACAAGGTTCTAGAGCTATTCAGTACTAAACACATGTGACTATTTTGTTTTAAATTAATTAAATAAAATTGAAAATTCAGATCCTCGGGTACTCAGTTACTACACGTGGCTACCGTCTCGGGCAGTGTTGACATGGAACAGTTCCATCATCAGAGTTCAGCTGGACAGCGCTGTCCTACGGCAACCTTTCCCTAGCATCTGGCTTGATTGGCCCCCAGCACTGGATGCTTTGGGAACCTCCCTGTTTTCTATGACATAAGGTCCAAATTGCTCCCTGAACTTCCAGGCCTTCTGTGAACTGTCCCCATTGCTATGTGCCCTATCCGCCTTTATATTTCTTGCTGTCTCTCTTAGTGAGGCCATTTGCCTTACTGCCCCTTAACCATGCTGTGCCCGAGACTCTACCCAACAATGAGGGGTTGAGGGCAGTAGCTGAGTCTTGGTCAGCTTTAGGGCCTGGTTCAGGGCCTGATGCATCTTGTAGGCCCTCCCTCTGTAAATGTTTTGAATATTTTATCTTGCTTAGAATAATCTGCAGCTCCCCAGATCCTCCCATTTCTTAGAGGCCCACTTCATTACAAAGGTTTCCCTGACCTCTCAGGATCTCTTGTTTTTACGTGAATTTCAACACCCTTCCCATCTATTCATTACCCATTTAACAGGTAGCTTTTGAGTGTCTACCATGTGTGATCCATGGGGATATGTTGGTGAATAAAGCAAACATAGTCTGACTCTTTCCCGCTGGAGTTTATCTTCTAATTGAGAGACACAGTAAACAAGTAGCAGATAAACAAGCAATAAATATCTAATTACAGTAGAGTGCAGTGAGCGAGAATAACAGGGGGAATGACTTAGTGTGGATCAGAAAGGTCTCTGAGGAGTTGTCATAAAAGCTAAGACTGGCTGGGCGCAGTGGCTGAAGCCTGTAATCCCAGCACTTTGGGAGGCCGAGGCGGGTGGACCACAAGGTCAAGAGATCGAGACCATCCTGGTCAACATGGTGAAACCCCGTCTCTCCTAAAAATACAAAAAATTAGCTGGGCATGGTGGCGTGTGCCTGTAATCCCAGCTACTCAGGAGGCTGAGGCGGGAGAATTGCCTGAACCCAGGAGGCGGAGGTTGCGGTGAGCCAAGATCGCGCCATTGCACTCCAGTCTGGGTAACGAGCGAAACTCCATCTCAAAAAAAAAAAAAAAAAAAGCTAAGACTGTAGAACTGGGAGGCAGCCATGTAGAGTATAGCTGAGTCTCACTCTGTAGCTTGGCATGTGTTTGTTCTCCAGGATTTTACTCTGTGCTGCTTTTAGATGTGCATTGATTTTGTCCCTTCAGCTAGATTGCAAGTTCCCTGAGAGCTCAGACCATATTGCTGTGACTCTTGTGTCCCTTGCATCATGCTGAACACATAATAATGTCAAATTAATCTTCACTGAGTGGAACTCTGCCACTCTAAACCCTTAATCAGAACCAGATCCCTCTAAAGCCAAAACAATCCCCTTGGCTTCCTCTCAGGTGCTCTAGACCTAGGTGTCTTAATTTCTGAAGGATGCTTCATTGTGTCATGTGGGGAAACAAGTAGGCACCGATTAGATAGGGGAAGAATTACAACCCACCTTAATGTTTGGTTCCCAGGACCCTTCTTTTATTTTTTAGGACCCTTCTTTCTCTTCAGCTTTTTCAGTTTGAAATGTGTACCCTCAGATTAGTCTCTCATTTGTTTTCACTGCCTTATACTAGCAGTGTTTTGGGAAGAAGGCTGAAGTTGGCTTCGTTTATTTATTCAGCCAGTCTTTTATTTATTTATTTTTTTGAGATGGGTCTTACTCTGTCACCCAGGTGGAGTGCAGTGGTGTGATCACTGTATCCTCAACCCCCTCGGGCCCAGGTGATCCTCCTGCCTCATCTTCCCGGGTAGCTGGGACTATACTCGTGTGCCATCATGCCTGGCTAATTTTTATATCTTTTGTGGAAACAGAGTTTCGCCATGTTGTCCAGGCTGGTTTTGAACTCCTGGGCTCAAGTGATCCACCCAGCTTGACCTCTCAAAACACTGGGTATTCAGCCATTCTGATTGCTCTCCTACTCTATGCCAGGTTCTGTGTTCCGACTAGAGCTGGTCAGTCACCATCCCCCACCTCATCAGAGCATGCTGGTTCTAGTTCAGCCACCAGTTAACTAGATAGCCTCTAAGCCTCAGTTTACTTATCTTTCAAATGGGAGTATAGGCTGGGCACAGTAGCTCACACCTGTAATCCCAGCACTTGGGAGGCTGAGGTGGGCATATCACTTGAGGTCAGGAGACCAGCCTGGCCAACATGGTAAAACTCTGTCTCTACTAAAAATTTTAAAAATTAGCCAGTTGTGGTGGTGCACACCTGTAGTCCCAGCTACTCAAGAGGCTGAGTCAGGAGACTCACCTGAACTTGGAGGCAGAGGCTGCAGTGAGCCAAGATCATGCCACTGCAACCCAGCCTGGCATGGAGTGAGACTCCATCTTAAGACAAAACAAAGCGTATCAAATGGGAATATGAAATCTGTTCTACTTGGCATACATGTGTGTGAGGGAACCAGGTGTGTGAGGGAACCCTCACAGTCTGAAACAGTTGGGTTGTTCTCACTATTAGTGAGTGCTGAGTCATCCTTTTCCTTTTGATGGGTCAGGAATTCCTGATTATGGATTTGCCCTTTCCCAGCCATTTCCCCCACTGCTAAAGCTGCCTGTTTTCCCATCCTAGACTCTGCCCATTCTCCAGGTCCCCATGACACCCGCTCCTACCTCCATTCCTTTCTGTATAGCACATGTGGGTTGCTGCCAGCAGCACTCTGGCACGGGTGCAGGCACAGCAGACACAGGCACGCTGTTGTGCTAGCAAATCATCCTGAGAAGGGTGATGTGCCTGAGCTTGTCCTCAGCTCTTGTCCTCATTTGTCCGAAGAAGCCAGTTTCCCTGACTCAGCCATTGTGCCAGGACAGTCCTAAGCTATGGAACTGTAAGGAGTGTTTATCAGAGGGCATTTGGAACAGGTGGAATGTTTTTCTACCAAACTGTCAGCACCCCATACTGGACATGGCCCTTCCTGGCAGCAGGCCTGGAGCCAGACCTCATATACCATAGTGCCCACAAGGACAGACCACAGCATAATGTCCAATAAAGTGATCCTGGGTCTTTGGATAATGTTTACCACTTACAGAGCCGTTCATGGCCAGTATCTCTTAATTCTCACAACAACTCTGTGGGATAGTTATTGTTATGCTTGTTTAACCCATGAGAAACTGAGGCTCAGGAAGGGCTAATAGCTTTGCAAAGGCCACACGGCCATCAAGTGACAGAGCTGGCATTTGAACTTGGACGCTCTGGTTCCCAGATCCCACTGTTTTGACGGTATCCCAGCTGTCTGCTAAAGCATGCTCTTAATCTTTGTATCCAACAGATCACACTTAACAAATAGTTCAAGAATGCTGTAAGTAGAGCAGGTAACTTTATCTGTTTTTAAGAAGCAGAAGATTGAGACTTTGGTTTAGTGAATTGCCACCATCACTGATCTTGGCAGAGGCAGAACTAGGACCTGATCTGCCTTCTAACTCCAAGTCAGCACATCGGTTCCACACATTACCTTGGCACCTGGACAGAGGGCCTGTTCCATCAGTTACCTTCACCCCAAGAAGCAAGACTCTCAGCCCTCCCACTCCCAGACCTCCAAGCTGGAAAATGTCCCTAGCTGGTGGCTGGGGCTCTTATTTGCCTCTGTAATCTTTGAGCTTCCCAACAGAAGACTCCTCTGTGCTGAAAGAGGCAGTATCAGGCACACACACATGTGCAGGCTCTGAGGCTGCCCCTCTGTGGCCCCAGCAATCCTGCTGAACAGCCTGTTTTTCTACTTAGGGAGAGTCTGGGCCCAGAGTTGGGTAACAGTGAAGACAAGATAGCTGGCTTCCTTCCCCAAAGACCCAGTTGCCTTGCAGATGTATGTCCTTGGATCAAGCAAGAAGGCACAGTCCATGTCCACCTCCATTCCTGGGAGAAACATACATTTACAGCTTTCAGCCTGTGCCCTGTGGACAGCAGGGGAGCATTGCAGCTACCATTTCTCTTGGCCTCTCAGGCACTGCCTGGGCCAGGCACAGTACAGAGTAGAGGGAGCCATGGCTGAGTCTCAGCTCTGCCTCACACCTGACCAGTGACTTGGCTTGTCTGGACCCCCTGTCCTCCTTCTGTATGTAATAAAATGAAGGGATTGGGCAGATGCCCTTGTAAGACATTCCATCTCTACCGTGTGGCTGCCCCATTTCCATCTCGTGCACTGGGGAGCCATGGTTGCTAGCATGTTCACAGTATCCCTGGTGTCTGTATGCTGGTTCTGTGGATCTCCTCCGGAGACCAAAGCTGTGCTGTGTGTTCCAGGGGATCCTTTCAGACGATCATGGGCTGGCCGCTGCCCTCTGGAGGACCTTCTTCAACCGGAAATGTGAAGACCCTAGACAGCTTGAATTGCTGGTGGAGTATGTGAGGAAACAGGTGAGCAGCCCTTTCCCTCCCCACCGAGTCCTGGCAACGGCAGGTCTTCCTCTTAGGCTTTCAGGGGACCATGAGTGGTTGAGTTACCATGGACCAGTCTGAGAGAATTCTGACCAGATAACAGCAGCGGCAGACACTGGAGGAGGAGCGCCTTCTGTGTGTCCAATGATGAACTGGACCAGGGAGCAGGAAATGGGAAGAGAGAGAGAAAGAGGCACCGAGTAGTCTCCCGCCCTCAGGAACTTTTTGAGTCATTCATTCACTATGTACCTCATTGCCTCCTGTGCACCTGGTGCTGTGCTAACAACTGTGCCCACAGAGTCCTGGCAGATATGAGCATGGGGGGTAGTGGCAGCCACCCACTGTGGCCCCTTCTCTACCCACTTGAATTTGTTTCCTGCTCCTGACTTTCAGCAGGACAGGGCAGCAGGCAGCATTCCACAGACACCCCTCAGCCTCTTCCCGATAGCTGCTTTCCATGGCCAAGCAGGGTCCCCCCACTTCAGCTTCTCACCCCTCTGGCTCCCCAGAGCTTCTAGGAGAAAGTGCCACAGTGGGGGGTGCTTACCCACATAGCTCTCCTCAGTCCCTGGGGAATTAACTCTGCCCTCAGCCCTCAGCTCCTGTATTGATGCGAAACCCATACTTGATAGATGAGCGAGCTGATTGGCAGGGAAGAGGACATAGAGGCTTCTCCAGGGCCTCCCAGTGAGTCAGCCTGCACAGCTGTCCTAGGGCCCCAAGCTGCGTGATTCATGTGGCCACTGAGGTCTCAGCTGCCTCAGACAGCTCAGGCTGTCCCATGAGTCACATCTTTGCTTCATGGCCTGGGCTCTGGAGCTGAAGGGGTGTCACCCCACAGATACTCTCTTGTTCACTTGTATCCATGGTCTTCAAGCCTCCAACCAGGAAAGGCAAGGCTGGACTTCAGCTCTTGAGAAGACAGGGCCAATAGGACTAGCTTGTTCATTGCAGGAAAAACCACATACTAGGGCTCTGCAGACCCACAGGGTAGAGAATCCCAGAAGCCAGGACTTCTGTTTGACCATTCTTCAAATTTGCCAGAGCCAGGGAGAAGGCATGGCATGGCTAGAGGGCCCCACCCACAGAGAATTCTGAGACTCTCTCTGTTGACTGGACTCGCCCTCAGACAGGAGTAGCAATTGGCAAAGCAAATGCTGTTTCTGAGAGGCTTGCCTAACATTTCCATCTGCCATGGTGGGCTTGTGCCAGAGGCCACAACACGACGCAGCTGGGACTTCTCCGAGGGCCCTCAAGGAAGGGGCTGCCACAGCCATTGTCCCTACAAGAGGTCCCATGTTGCCCCAGTGGGAGTCAAGCAATGGAAAACAGAGATGGGGCCCTTGGGAAAGCAGGGAGCTTTGGTGGGAACCCAGTTCTGTCAGCAATCCTTTTTGAGCACCTGCTGCACCAGGCAGTCTTGGGAAAGCAGCAATTAATAAGACCCGGTCCTGCCCTCAAGGAGCCAGCTCATGGATTGGCGAGGAAGCCCAGGCACACGGCTGACCCTGGAATAATCCAGCCGTAATGTGATACACGGAGGCCAGAGTGCTGAAGGCCAGGAAAGGAAGAGCGGGAGCCGGGCCTTGAGCAGGCTCCAGTCCTACCCACAGTGCTGATTGGTGTAAGCCGATGGCCCAAGAGCCAACCAGAGGTTCTGTTGAGGTTTTCAACCCCAGGAGATGGGCAGAGCGGTGACACTGGGGACAGAAATGGAGTCGCTTATAAGGAGGAGTGGGCTTAAGGAAGAGATGGCAGGGCAGGTGGGAACCCAGAGCTGAGGCATGTGCGAGAGCCTAGGGTTGAGTTCAGGCGTCAGCAGCTGGAAGCTGAAGCAGCCAGAGTGGTGGATTCTTGGAAGGGGAATGACCTAAAGTCTAAGATGAAGCCTGGCCCCGCAGCAGTGGCTTCTCTCGATGGTGATTATTTTAATGGCAGAGCTGTCTAGGGCGTAGGCTACCCTTACTGTCCTAGAGGGGTGACACTGGGGCCCGCTAACCAGGGACCCTTTAGGAGACAGGAGAGGCTTACGGATGTTGAAAGTGTGAGTGCCAAGCACTGCATATGCACATATTGCTGAATCTCTTCATGTGTCCTATGAGGTACCTGTTTCTATCCCCTCTCTCAGACAAGGAAACTTAAATCTCAGAGAGGGGAAGTGGCCACCTTAGGTAGCAGCGCGGGGAAGAGACAGAATTGGGACTCTCACGCTGCAGCACTGGGGTGGACAGCATGGCTTCTGTGCGCTGCAAGCCCTGACTTCCTGGCCTGCAGGAGCTGTCTAGGGAGGGCATGTAGGGAAGTGTCCTTGGGAGGTGTGTCTTTCTCCATTCTGAGGTGTGCTAGGGAATTCCTAGCTGCTGCCCCACCAAGCCCCCCAGTGACTGCTTTCTCCCAACCACCTTAATGAAATTATTTAGATCACAGACGGGCTGGCCTGGGAGCTGGGATGGTCGGAAGCCCCCTCATGCCCCGTCCCCTTCCTTCCTCTCCTGGGAAGCTGGTTCCTGATGCTGCCTCCTCGGTCCCACTCTCCTGGTTGCAGATGCAGTACCTGGACTCCATAAACGGGGAGGATCTGCTTCTGACAGGGGAGGTGAGCTGGCGCCCTCTAGTGGAGAAGAATCCTCAGAGCATCCTGAAGCTCCATTCCCCCACTTACAACGATGAAGGACTTTGACGGGCTGGGCCCTCCGGATGGCTCACCAGCTGGCTTCCAGGAACTGCCAGGAGAGAAGTGCCTGTTGGTCCAGGACCCCGCAGAAAGTGGCCTGAACTGACCTCTGAACAGTATCTGTCAAATACCTGGCCCCATTTGTGTTGAGTTTCCTCTTAGTGTACCCAGGAGTCTGATCTGCTGGGCTACAGGGTCAGGAGAACCCCTAGCTCTCCTGGGGTGTCCTCTGCCTCAGGGGAAGCCCCAAGTGAGAACTCCGGAGCACACACTCCCCAACCCCCTCCAGAAACCACAAGTGACAGCTTTTCCCAAAGGCCGAGGAAGGGATGGCATAGGTTCAAAAGGGAAACCCCCCAGGGCCTGCTGTGGCTTTGGAGCAGATTGTCACGCCGTGGAGTCCGGAGGGCAACCTTGTGCTGTCCCTCAGCTTTCAGACATGGGGTTGAGTTGGCCATTGAAAGAAACAGAGACTTCTCTGCTATGGCCCTTCTTTATTCCAGGGTCTTAGAAACTTACCTGAGATGGTGGATGCTGGAAATGAGGGTGCCGCCCAGCTCAGTTAGAGATGGAGAAAGGGAAGGGGCTGGGGTGGGGGGCCTCTGCTGCTGCCTTTGCCTCTAGTTCATAGAGATGTGTCTCTGTTCAGGCCAAGGCACGTTTTCATGGAGATGTGTCTTTGTTCAGCCAGGCCCCTCGTCTGGGACCCAGGAGGCCTCTGATGGCAAAGGGATTGTCACATCCTAAGTCATTTGGAAGGAGGCCTTGAAAACAAAGTCACCATTGTCACTCCAGTGAACTGAATGAGCAACATGCTGTCTCCTCTCGGCCTCCCCTTTCATGAGATACTGGGGAGAAGAGACCATTCCTCCTGGCTTAGTTGTACCAGACCCAGACCTGTGCCTAGCTTCGGGCCCCTCCCAGCTTCTGAAGCACGTGCTGTGGAGCCACCTTGGTCTGAGCACCTGAGGACCAGCCCCTCCTCCCTCAGTGCCAGTCATCTCTTGGGGGATTTTCTTAAAGTGAAGAAAGGGGTGGGGAACCATATTGCCCCTCCCTCCCCCATCAAACTTCCTTCATTTAACTTGCTATAAAATGAGTCATATAAAGAAACTCTATATGGGTGAGGTATATCCCACTTCTGTGAAAACATTACAAATCAAACCGCCTTCTCTCAGTTTATTTAAGATGCTTTTGTTTCGAGCGGAGCTCTAGAGTGAAGCCTCCTGTGTGTGTGAGATAATAACACCTTGTAACTCATTACAGCTGGGCACTATTTACATAAACCAGAGCTGAGCCAGGCAGGAATTTGCTGATTAATTTATTTTTAATGGAGTGAAGTATACCATGCACCAAAATAAACTTTACTGTGTGTACCTAACTGCTCCTGGAATGGATGGAAAAATTAATGGAACAGATTTTGGCTCCCAGCTCTACACATTAATTCATATATAAAAGTTATTTGAGCGTTAACCCATTTGCTGCCCAGGGCAGCTCCCCGGCCACAGATCCCAGCCCATGGCACCAGTTCAGCTACCGGGCTTGCTTTAGAATCCTGGAACCCTAGATTTGGAAGGAACTAGAAAGGTGATTTGGTCCAGCCCTGATCCAGAACCTGACTCTCTTCTTAGCATCCCAGTCAGCCAGTGTTCATGCAGGCCCTGGATGAATCCCCCCAGCAGCAATGGCCTCTGTCTATAGAGCTGAGTCGTGTCAACACAGGACTCTGTCATCGTCAAACACAGCAACTTGCAGTGTGGAGCTGCCTTTGAAAGAGCCAGATTGGATCTATCATGTCTGATGCTGGTGAGCTCTCACTTCTTTGCCATTAGCACCTGACTGTGCCAATCCCCCACCCCTTCAAGATCAATTCCAAGTTCCTGGAAGGCTACAGGATTCTTGCTTTGGCCCCTGCCTCCAGTCCTGTTTTTGTGAGTCCACCCATTTCTTCTCTCGGCGCACTGAACCTCTTGGGGTTACCTGGAGAGACCATGTATGTGTCCTCTACCTAGAACCTTTGTCCCTCCCTCTCCTGTCCACCCCCACCACCCCCAGGTACAGGCATACTATCTGTGAAGCTCCCCACATAGTTCTCTACTCAGGTAGCACTTACCTTTTTATTTTTATTTTTGTAGATAACGGTTTCTCACTATGTTGATTCTCCTGCCTTGGCCTCCCAAAGTGCTGGGATTATAGACATGAGCCACCGCACCTGGCCCTTACCTTACCTGGTGGCACTTACCCACCTCCCACTCTGTGCCGTGAGCTGCCTCGGCACGGAGTGGACACTGCGTGTGTGTGGGTCGGCGTTGTATTTCCAGTGCTCAGCCGAATTAGATAAACGAAAGAATGAATGGGTGACTAAATCGCCAATCGTTAACAGTACAACCCCGACCAGAAAGCCCCTTTCTGGACCATTGTCAGTGTGACCCATACAGTTCCACTTATTTTAACAACCTAACATTAAGTACTTCCTTTGGTCTTAGCATAGGAACCAAAATCGAAAGTTCTTTCCATAGCTACATGTTTTAACAATGTAAATCATTATTGTAAAAACAAGTGAAGGACACAATTTCTTGCCTTCAAGGAGACTGCTCAGTAGGAATGATTTTGTTGTTTATTAATATTTGTACTCTGTATTCTTCCAGAAAAGATTACAACAAATTAAGAGACACCATTTATAATAAAACTGTAGATTGGGGCCGGGCGAAATGGCTCATGCCTTTAATCCCAGCACTTTGGGAGGCTGAAGTGGGCGGATTGTTTGAGTCCAGGAGTTCGAGACCAGCCTCAGCAATATAGTGAGACCCTGTCTCTACAAAAAACCAGCAAAGTGTGGTGACATGAGCCTGTAGTCCCAGCTACTCAGGAGGCTGAGATGGGAGGATCACCTGAGCCCGGGAGTTGGAGGTTGCAGTGAGCTGAGATTGTCACTGCACTCCAGCCTAGGCGACAGAGGGAGATCCTGTCTCAGAAAAAAACAAAGCAAAAAGCCTTAAAGTTAAAAGATCATATGCAGGTCTTGGGAGGGAAGAGAGGGAAAATAATTATGTTAGAAAACCTGGACTGCTAATGAGCAACTTTCACATGACTTTTGAAAAATTTTATAAAATACTGCAAGTGCGTTATCTCACAACAATCAGGTAAAACAGGTATTATCATTTTTATTATCCCTTTGACACAAGTGAGGGGACTAAGGCTTAAACGGGCCTAGACAGAAAGTGATCAAGGGTAAGAAGGGGCCAAGAGTGCTGCAGCCCACAACAGACCCGAGGGCCCCTGCTTTGTCCCCATTTCTCACTGCTTCCCCCCCTCAGGTCAGCCAGGAGATTTGCAGTTGCGTATCAGACCTTGCTGAGAGCTTCCTGATCCAAGGTGGAAAATGGAAAGTCCTAAGGTTATGGAGTTCCCATTGTCACATAAAAGGAAGCGCACTTACTCACCAGAAGAAACACATCTTCCTTACTTTTCAGAGAAGACTGTTATAGAGGTTTTCAAATGAGAAACACTGAACAGTATAGTGACCAGTGTACCTAAGATTTCTGTTTTACCTAAAAATTTGAAAATAATAAATCAGCTGGGCGTGGTGCTCACACCTGTAATCTCAGCACTTTGGGAGGCCGAGGCAGGTGGATCACAAGGTCAGGAGATCAAGACCATCCTGGCCAATATGGAGAAAACCCGTCTCTACTAAAAATTCAAAAATTAGCCAGGCAGGGTGGTACATGCCTGTAATCCCAGCTGAGGCAGGGGAATCGCTTGAACCAGGGAGTCGGAGGTTGCAGTGAGCCGATAGTGCACCACTGCCCTCCAGCCTGAGCTGGAGCAAGACTCAGAGCAAGACTCAGTCTCAGGAAAAAAAAGAAAAAATAACAAATCATCAAGATTTCTGATGAGAAAAGAAGAAATTCACCTCATCTCTACGATGAGATGGGGTGAATCTTAAACCGAAGCTGAAGCCCAGGTCGCACTTCAGCTAGCGTTTTTTGTGTTTTCCCTCTGTGCCAGGCTTGCTTGGTATTTTCACTTGTCACCTCACCACCTTGCAGGTGAGGATTCTTAAGCTTATGTTCCAGAAGGGAAACGCCCAGACATACCCTGCATGGAGACTCAGGTGGCTCTTACCCAGTCCACTGCTTCGGGACATGAAGTATGAGGCTTAGGGAGGCCGGGAAACAGGAAGTGAGGAGCTGCCCAGGTGAAGGCACAGAACAGGAAGCTCTTTGGACTACAGGAGCTGTTGAGTCAGCTGCTAAGGGAAGGAAGGGTTGCAGAGATCAGGTGGGACCATGAGTGGGGGTAGCACAGATAACACATCAGCTGCCAGGCAGCAGGGAGCCACTGTACACATTCTGGGTAAAGACGGGCCTGATGGCAGTGGAGACAGCAGTACCAGGATGGATTGGCTCTGTCAGGAGGGGAGTCTCGCCATCCAGGCTTGAAATGCTGGAGATGAGAGATGGAACTCAAAGGTAAGCTGGAACCCCAGACATTTCCCGGAAGAAACTCACCAGGACTTGTGGCCACGTGGAGCCTGAAGACAGTGCAGTCAGGGAGTTCTCTGGGGCCCAGGGATGGCGACGTCTGGCAGAAGAAGAATCCTCTTTATGTTGTGTTTTTTCTTTTCTTTTTTTTTAACTTTTAATTTTTCTTTCTGTATTGTGTTTTTTCAAGTGGAAATTACAGCATCCTATGAGCTAGGCAGGGCAGGGATTTCTGCCCCAACATGCACCAGGGAAATAAGTGCACTGAGAAGAAAGCACTTGCTGGGCAAGGTGACCCTGCAGCAGAGCTGGACAGTCTTTTCTGGGCTCCACTCCATTGCCGTTGGTGCACCTTGGTTGTATCTGGGGAGCTTCTCTGGTGGCAGATGGACTTCAAATGCTAGAGATGCTTCAGGGAGGGCAAGGGCATGGGGCAGTAAGGACCTCGGGGGGAACCTCAGGACGGACCTCAGGGACAAAGGATGTTGGCCTTGTCTTGGGTATAGAAATCCTGAAGTTGGGCTGGATGCAGTGGCTCACGCCTGTAATCCCAACATTTCAGGAGGCTGAGGCGGGTGGATCACCTGAGGTCGGGATTTGAGACCAACATGACCAACATGGAGAAACCTGTATCTAAAAATACAAAATTAGCTGGGCGTGGTGGTGCATGCCTGTAATCTCAGCTATTTGGGAGGCTGAGGAAGGAGAATCGCTTGAACCCAGGAGGCAGAGGTTGTGGAGAGCTGAGATTGCACCATTGCACTCCAGTCTGGCCAACAAGAACAAAACTCCGTCTCAAAAAAAAAAAAAATCCTGAAGTTGGATGAGCTCCCAGAGGTGAGGGCAGCCCTAAAACTGGGTTGGGAGTGCAAGGAGCATTCACAAGAGGTGGCAGGAAGAGCAGGCACCAGTGCAGAAGGTAGACTGTGGAGCCAGAGGAGAGCTAGAAGGAGGAGACTCAGAACAGCATGCTGAGAAGAAATGGAGGGAAACTGGGAGGAGGCAGGAGAGGGGATGGAAGGAGGGGTTTGCAGAATGCGCCTAAGATGTACTTGGGGCTGGGAGGGCTCTGATGAGCAGCTAAGCATTCAGTGAAGCAAGAAACTTCCCATGAGTGTTAGGACTCCCATGAGACCCCTCTGGAGAGGGAAGCCTGGTCTTGAGAACAAGCGCCTGGCTTTGGAGGTGGGAAAGGGAACCCTTTCCTGAGACCAGCAATTGGGAGAACAGACGGGGGAACAAGGAGTTTCTGAGGAGAGGGCTGATGGGGAAGGGGGAGCTCATGCCAGCTGGTCTCCATCTAGAGTTGATCAGTCACAGGGGTGGAGTGGGAGGGAAGTCGATCTGGCAGAGGTGTTTGAACTCTTCCCCAGGAGCTGCCCTCCTGTACCTATTGCCCTGGTTCCTTCCCACTTCTAGTCTGCCCATTGCACCCACCATGCCTCACCCACCCTACCCACTGGGCTTGGCCTTAGGGAGGGGGAGGCCAGGCCTCAGGCCCCTGGCCCCTACACTCCCCGCTCCCCCATCAGGTTCTCTGTGGCTATAAGGGGACTTCCCTGGAGCCACGTTGGTGAACCTAGGACCCGGACCCTGACCAGGCCACAGGCTCCCCTCTTCCGTGTGGAGGGGAGAATAAGGAGAAAAGATCCCGGAGACGCTGGCTGGGGAATTTCCAGGAAGGGAGCTCCAAGCCCCAACCCATGACATTAACAAGTGATGGACTTCAGCGATAACGCCAGACGCGCCTAGAGACCTCCCACCCAGCCAGCGCGCAGGATGGGGGAGCCTGAGGCCCTGCGAGGCCTCGCTGCAGGTTTCAGTCAGGAACCAGCACCCACGGGCCTGGGCTGGTGCTCTTCCTCTTTCTTTCTCTCCTTGTGGCCAGGAACAGCGT